TGCAGGAATCTTCTCCAGCACCATAGTTCAAAGGCCTCAATTCTTTTGTGCTCAGCCTTTCTTATGGTCCAACTTTCACAGCCATACATTGCAACTGGGAAAACCATGGCCTTAACTATATGCACTTTTGTCTCTGCTTTTTAGTATGCTGTCTAGATTTGCCATAGCTTTCCTCTCCAGGAGCAGGCGTCTTTTAATTTCTTGGCTGTAGTCCCCATCTGTGGTGATCTTAAAGCCCAGGAAGATAAAATCTGTCACTACCTCCATTTCTTCCCCATCTATTTGCCAGGAATTGAGAGGGCCGGATGCCATGATCTTGGTTTTCTTAATGTTGAGTTTCAAGCCAACTTTTGTACTCTCCTTCTTCACCCTCATCAAGAGGCTCTTTAGTTCCTCTTCACTTTCTGCCATTAGAGTGGTATCATCTGCATATCTTAGGTTGTTGATATTTCTCCTGGCAATCTTAATTCCAACTTTTGATTCATCTAGCCCTGCCTTTCTCATGATGTGCTCTGCATATAAGTTAAATAGGCAGGGCGACATAATACAGCCTTGCCAGACTCCTTTCCCAATTTTGAATCAATCAGTGGTTCCGTGTCCAGTTCTCACTGTATACATCAAGTTAATAACAATTAAAATTCAACTACTACAATTGTTTGCTAATTATTACTGAATTGGTTTAGAAGCAACTGAATAATTGACAAAACTTCAATTTACTTATATTTACATAAACATTTCAGAGAAATATTTAATATGTAAAAACAATCTACAGATTTTTCAGGATCCATTCCTCTGATCAGATTCAATATAAAGAATAGCTATTGTGCCAATCAGCATCCTCCAAGGAGCCACCTATTCGTTAAATAGGTTTATAGGGGTAGATTTATTCGGATAAGAAAAGGTTCCAACACTAGGTGATGCAATCATAGGACTGAAAATAACCATTTTGATTACAAATATTGTAAAGACAATCACTTTTATATCCCTTAAAACCAATACTGAAAACACCATCTATTAAAAAAGCTAACAAATCTTCAATTCTGCTGTTCGAGCAAGAAATAGTTGGAGGCTGGGAATAGGCATCTGTTGTTCTCTAAAAACACATGCACAAGAGAGAATAGAGATCAACCTACTGCACGGGTGTCAAATTTGATCGCGTCATGTGACGTTTTTTGCCTTTGCGGAGCCGGGGTGGGCGTGGCCTGTGTGTGATGCATCCGGCCCATGGGCCACCAGTTTGACACCCCTGACCTACTGGCTCCATTGTGTGCTAGAATTCCCACTGCTGTCCACAATGAAAAATTCACTACTGCAACAGGGAGAGTTCCCTAGTAATTTATATACTCTGCACAACTTAGAAACCCAATTTTTAATATTACAAAAAAGTACAAAGAAATTGAACAATCAGCCAGGCCACCACCTTAGGTGAGAACAGCTACACAACTCTGTTTGACCTGAAAAAAATCTAAAGAGGGTCAAACCCAATTTGTACTTGAATGAGACATGTATAGGACCATAACAAATAGAGGATTTGATAGAGGACAGGGCCAAAAATACATCTCAATCTTTCCTCTGATTCTGACTGCAAGAATGATACACTTCTGAAGAATAAAAGAAAAACAAATTAGCTAGATTTCTTCATAGATTAAAAATTATTGCCTCTCAGCATATTTTCATTTCTTTAAAGATCTTTGCAGAAAGCTAAGGATTATATTAAATATTATGCAAGGAGATCTGTGCTCATGGACTGGGCATTCCCAAATTCTTTTTGTTCTACTCCCATTCCCAAATTTGCTTTAGAAATTTCTTCAATCCACAAATATAAAGAACACGCAAGAATATATTAGGAAACCAACTCCACAAATTTATTCTGTTAGAATGAGTATTATTGAAGAAATTATTTTGCAGCAGTATTTTGAATAACGGTAAGAAAAGCCATTAATTGACAACATAACCAGCACCATAGATTCCTTTTTTTATCTCTATTACAGTGCTGCCTGTATGATGCTCATTGTTCTCAAACTGAGACCATTTTCTCCACAAAGAATCCTAACAAGTGAATAGCTCTTCATATAAAAGGCTTCATATACTTGAAACACAGGCATCTAACAGTGAAATAAAAGTGTTATTTAAATGTCCTGAAGGCAGAACATTTAAGGCCAATGCAAAAATAATATACACCCAAGGCAAGAAATCTGGGACAAATGTAACAGAAAACTTTCAATTACAAAACATCTCAAACACTTTAACCCAGTCTGGTCATCTCCCAATCAGTACAAACATTGCCTTGGGATTGAGCCCAGGATCCTTGGCATGAAAAATTTTGGTCTACAATCCTAACCCTATACTCTAGTTCAGGGGTCCCCAACCCCTGGTCCGTGGACCAGTACCAGACCGTGGCATGCCAGCAACCAGGCCGCACAAACAAGCAAAGCCCCATCCGCAGGATGCAGGCAGCTCACAAAACCACGCACCCTCCGGTCGGCGGAAAAACCTCTCTCCAAGTAACCGGTCCCTGGTGCCCACAAAAGGTTGGGGACCTCTATTTTAGTTCCTTAGGCAAGGCTGAGGAATCATTTACACTTTTATTTAGGACCAATCAAAATTATGACAGACACCCCCAAAAGCTATTTACAATCTGATTTTGAAGTTCTGATGTGGTTCTCCTTGCAATCACAAAGCCACATTGTGGGCACTTAGCAACCAGCCTGTATTTACTGACATTTGCAATACTGTATAGTCACATAACTGCTATTTATGATGGCTTTGTTGGAAACTGATGTTTACTTCCTGTTTCCAGCAAAAACGCACCATAGCAAACAATGGATTTACTTAACTGCCATATTTGCTTAAGTATCGCCATGAAAAATGTAATAAAATTGGATCTGGTCAAATGGTACAAGTGTCACAACTTACAACAGTAATTGCCAGGCTCAATTATGGTTGTAACACAAAGACTACTTATATTGATTGGCATTTGGTTCTGTCTGATTTCAAAGTGACTCAGGGCTGCTCATAATATAAAACAGAATACAAATACAATAACACAAATAAAACATACAGTAAGAAAAATATCACATTAAGATAAAAACAAAAATAGCAACCACTTCTAACAAAAAGGATTCCATCTACCACTACATTAACTTGTAAGCTTCCCAGAGGAAATGGACAGCATAAAAATTTAATAACTAAATAAATATCCCAACGTCTGACAAATCTTTGAGGCCTTCCTGAATGCCATCAGGATAAGAACTTTCCAGATCTCAGGGATGACCTCATTCCAGAGGACAGATGCTGTGATAGAGAATGAGAGGACCTGGAGCACAATCTATTGCTCTTATTGTCCAGGCTCTTACTGACTACAGAAGATAAGCAAATATTGATCAAATAACTAGGCCCATGCCATGTAGTGCTTTGTAAATAATAATCAGCATCCTGAATTGTACCAGAAGCACACTGGCTATCAGTATAACTTATGAAGCAGGGTGTCATTTGGCCATGCCAAGTTAGGTCTTTGGCAGTCTCATGCCACTGCATTCTTATCAGTTGAAGTTTTTTGAGTAATGTTCAGTGACAGTTCCATACAGAATGCATTGCAATAGTAAGGCCATGAGGTGACAAGGCCCCTGTAGACCTCATTACAATAGTAAATGTAGGAGGTGACAGGGGCATGAGTGACTATCTGGAGGGCCATCCAATGCAGGATGGGGTACAGCTGGCATCCCAGATAGAGCCACAAAGCAAAGCTGCTACTCTCTCTTTATGGAGAGAGGGACAGACAGTTTCTGAAAGTTTTTTGCATCCAATTAACACTCTGCTGGTGAGAGTCATCTATAGTATTTATATAACTGCATCAGCAATACAAGACAATACCTGGAGGAGGTTATTTCCAGGCCACAGAATAAATAAAAACAAAAAGAAGGTAGACTGAAATTAGTCCAGACTTCTGCAAATGATGCTCTCAAGTTGTAGTCCAATTCTCAAAATTCTAAGTGAAAATGAACACTGGAAATTCTGGCTTCAGTTTTTTAAAAAAAACCAGTAAGTCAAAACTAGTGCAACAATGTCTTTAAAATAAATCTTAAGCAGAAAGCTCATTTTTCTAATTATCCTTTTTAGTAACATTTCCTTTCATTTCTGTATGATTTTAAAATAGACCTGAAAATAACAGAATAACAGAGTTGGAAGGAACCTTGGAGGTCTACTAGTCCAACCCCCTGCTCAAGCTATACAAGAGATGGTTGTCCAATCTCTTGTATAGGGATACACATCCACAGAAAAACATCCAAAAGACATCCACAAAAAAGCAACATCCCTAAGTATCTAAAACATACCCAATCCAATAAAAACAAGAATCTGATACTTTACAGGAAAATAATAGTTACCTATGCAAATAATTTCATAAGGAAAAATTCATTGTTCTTGCTACTACTCTGTGAAGTAAGGTCTCACAGCCCAAATGCACCTTTTTTAAGGGGTTCATTTCACCTGGCTCTTCTCCCAGAGCGCTTTGAGAGTCAGCACACTGAGCTTTCAATTGGCTACAACAGTTTCAGGACTTCCAGGAGTGGATCCAGAAGACAGGAGCCATTCATGCAAAGATTTAAACACCTAAGCTGTCTTCCATCTGCCTGATTTTATAACAGTGGTACAGCAAAGTACTTTCATCAACAAACTGGGCCAGATTGGTAGAAATTTGCTGAGCGTTTTAAGCATGTGATGTTTTGTTAATAGTCAAAGAAAATGCCATATTACTCTGTCATTGCAAACTAAGACTAGGATCCTCTTCTTCGGATTCCTACCATTCTATTCCGTTCCTTCTCCAACGAGCCTAAAACAACATCTCATGACAATGATAAGAAATATATATATCCCTATGATCGAAAAGTCCGTCTTTTGAGCAGGGCTCTACTTGTCCAAATCCAACACTTCCCCCAGATCTCCACAGCCATCGCTACCTCGAAGAAAAGGAGAGAGCTTCCCTTGAGGACCTCGCCTACCTTTTATTAATGGACTATGAACGTAGCTCAGGTTATTAACTACAGCAGGCCTACTCCTGCCGCGGCCCTGGATCCTTGCCTGTCTATCAAGCAGCACCCGCCTTTTCTCCTTCCTTTTAAAAGATCGGCTTTTTTACAGCTACCCCTCGAGTGCGATGGAGCGGTGGGGTGGGCAGGGTGGAGCCGAGGGAACCCCCGTGTCGACGACACCTGACCGCCTGCCCCTCCTTATCCCTCACCGCCGGCTTCCTCACCGACAACTTTCCAGGAAGAGAGAGAGTGAGAGAAGGCTGCGGCGCTTCCAAATTCGAGCCGAGCCGACGGCCGGCTCCGCTCAACCCGTGCCGCCCGCCATCTTTGATTGCCCGAAATACAACGCTCGACACCAAACGCGTTGCATTTCGGGTAGCCTGAGCTGAGGGCAGAGGCGAGCGGCTGTACTAGATACTACTGGGTGGTTGAAGCGCGGGTGAGATTGGCGTGGGCACGCCTGGTGCTGACCGATCTGTACCCATATTCGAAACGGACGATATTTCCCAGGGCGGAGGTTTAGATCAGGTTTCTCCGATCTGGAGCCCGTTTAGATGGCTTTGGGTTACAGCAGGGGTAGTCAACCTTGGCTCTTTTATGACTCGTGGACTTCAATTCCCAGAATTCCTGAGCCAGCTTAGCTGGCTCAGGAATTCTGGGAGTTGAAGTCCACGAGTCATAAAAGAGCCAAGGTTGACTACCCCTGGATTACAGCAACTACCACTGATGGGAGAACAATAAGGGATTTAGCATGCCGCATTTCAAAGATTTTAAATTGAGAAAGCCTGATTTAGGCATTGGTGCATCTATCCAGTATTGTGTTCCAATGTATTAACGCTGAGGCTAAACAAGGTCCTGTGTTTCTTTCATTACGGTTACAGAATTGAACTGTGATGTGCATGGGTCCTTTTGAGTACTGAATTTTAGATTCTGCTGAAGAATTCAATCACATACACACTTTATTATTTACTTTTTGCATAATCCTTAAAAGAGAAGTACTTCATTGCATAAGTGACGTGGGAAGTATTAGCTGATTTATGTTTCTACTTATTGTAATTTACACTGATTGACACCCTCGTTATTATCCAGTTAGAAACACTTAGAAACCAAGCAAAGCTATTACTAGAAGACTACATGGGTTTGCCAGACAAACTTTATTGCATTCTTTACAAAATGACTACATTAGTGGACCAGCGAAATGCTGTGGACATAGTATATTTGGACTTCAGTAAGGCATTTGATAAAGTACACTGCAACTTACTTCTTTATAAGACAGATGTGGGGTCGACAGTATCACCACCAGATGGATTTGCAACTAGCTGACCAACCACACTCAACCTATAGTTCTTAATGGAACTACATGTACATGGAGGGAAGTATACAGTGAAATATCCAAAGGTTCTGTCCTAGACCCAGTACTCTTCAACATCTTCGTAAATGATTTAGATGAGGGAATAGAAAGGGAACTCATCAAATTTGCAGACAACACCAAGCTGGGGGGAATAATCAACACTTTAGGCTCAAGATAGGCTCAATATCCAGAAGGATATTTACAGACTTGAGTATTGGACCCTATCCAAAAAATGCAATTCAGTGGTGGGAAAAGTAAGGTTTTATACTTGGGCAAGAAAAGACAAATGCACAGGTATACAATAAGTGGTACCTGGCTCAACAGTAGTAACTAAGAATCCTAGTGGACAACCACATCAGCCAGCAGTGTGCTGCAACTGCCAAAAAAGCCAGTGCAGTCCTAGAATCCATCAACGGGGATAGAATCTAGATTACGTGAAGTTTTAGTATCACTTTATACTGCTTTGCTAAAACCACATTTGGAACACTGCATCCAGTTTTAGTCACCATGTTACAAAAAAGATGTTGAGACTCTTATGAAAAATTTGCAGAGAAGAGCAACAAAGATGTTTAGTGGGCTGGAGGCTAAAACATTCCCAATACTATCTGTGTGCCTAATAATATCTGGAAGGGAAGTGCCTATTCCTAGAAAGGGAAGATCTTACCAACAATGGGGGTAGTCAGTCACTTCTGTCAATCACCTCCACTTTTAGGGTTCAAGAAGCCTTTAGAGCTGATAGTAATGGCGATTCCATCTGTGCAGGGTAGGAAGTGTTGTTTTTCTGGTAAGTTTTTGTTTCTTGGTGTGACGTGAGAATATTCTATTATGCATATTTAATCTTTCTTAATAAAACTACAAATGTAATCAAGTAGCATATAAAGCTAAGTAAGTAAATACAAATAAAACATTCTCAAGATGTTTTGAATAACAACTTTCATTACCCCATTCAGGTGCCCTTGTATGGCAATAAAGGTCATCTCTAGTATTTTAAAGTGAATATTAAAAAAGAGATAATAAAAAGCATAATTGATCAAGGACACGCATCATGATTGTATATTAAATGTAGCTGCCAGTTTGTTTTTATAGACTGCTTTATGTAGAGGGGTTACATTCATACATTGTGCTAAGGCAGGACTTTGTGATTATATTATGCTTTCTGAACCTGACAAGATATTGCTCTCATAGAACCCTAAACTATAAAAGGTAGTTTAACACACATTCTAAGCCAAAACAAGCAAATTGTATTGAGCTATATTGTGATGTGTGAACCTAGCTACTGGGCTGTTATAGCTTATCTCAGTAAAGCATAATGTGAAAATAGATCATAGCAACTGAAAATAAATTCTCTTCTAATCAGGCCATTAGTATGCAACTAGCAAAAGCTAGTAAAAGTCATTCCTAACCATTTACATTATTTTGATACATAAAGATACTGCTGAAGCCAGGAGCACTTCCGCACCAATTTTTTCAGAAGGATTTTTAAATCTCATCCCAAGTAAGCTAGTATAGAGCATCGTCAGATTTCCCAACCATCAGTATTTGTATTTCATCTATAAGAGGTTCAGCTTCTTCACTCTCATTCAGATCTCCAAAGGGGAAGGAGATAATGAATATTGATGAGATCTACAGGAGTAAGCAGAGACATCTGTCAAGGTTTCCACACATCAATCCTATATGAATTCTTCCTAAGCTTAAGGCCAAAATAATCATATTGTGCATTCTATTGGACATGAAGCTCTTATATTTGGTCAATAGTGTATCATCAATTGCTCAAAGATGTATTATCTTGGAGTTAACAGATGTTTCTTAATACATTTTATATGACTTTTGAATGTTTAATTTTTGTGATTATAAGGAAGTATTTGGACAATCAAGTCAAAAGTGAATGCATAATCCCAAAAGACAAGCACAAACAAGGGACAGAGCAGCAAACTTAGATTGAGAAGCCAAGATGGATGTAGACTCAAAGTCACAGGAACACTCAATTACATGGCAATGACTGAAAAGCAAGTACAGTAAAAGCAAAAACTCTACAGTCGGGGCTTTGTAATCACCCTGGATCACCTCTTAGACTTAACTCTGGGAGGCTTAAACCATCTGCTACTGTAGCAAAGATGAAACTCGTGAAACCCAAACTTAGATATGTCAGAGGAACCTAAATGTTTGGCACCTTGAGTTATTTGTAAAAATAAAAGCTGGATACTAATAAATAATAATGCTCATGGCATTCAAATAGTATGGTGCTGGAGCCTGACTAGTGATAATAAAGGCAACCACAGCTAACTATAATGACATGTATGTTGTGAGATCATGATTATATACTTGCTTAACGTCACATGCAAGTATGTACAAGATGGAGTTCGTGTCACAAGTGACAATGCACCTTTCACTCTTGCTTCCTTCACCCACCCCTACAATGATAATATAAGTTGCATCTT